GCAGCTTCCTATAAATGAGTAATAAATAATAAAATTTATAAGATAAAATAGGTAGTATCTGTGGCGAAGCGCGAGCAGAGCAGCGTACTAGCGTCTTGGGAGAATGTAGAAGAATAGGAGGGGGGGGGGTCAGGCTGTTTGAAGGCAGCACCAGCTGTCGTGTCGTCGAACTCTCTAGAATGCGAGCGGCGGTGCCATTCGCTACCCTTCTACGGCTGCGTTCCTGTTTATAGCATCAAACCGCTACAGTGTCACAGCAGCGGTAGCGTTACAGCGCGTAGACGCGCGCTATCGCGGTTTCTGGACGCTGCCCAACACAACTGTGCTGTTTCGAAGCAGCGCTCTCCTTGGGCTATGTGACAGCAGGACCGCTAGGCGCTCCCATGCGGAAGCTCGAGAAACCATGCCTTTGCACTCGAGCGCTGCATTTACCAGGCCACTTTTTTTAGCTAGTCACTGATCCAGTGAGTTTTCAGTTTCATTTCTAGCTCTACTGAGACCTGAGTCCGTGACGCAGTTGTTTGTAGTCCGCTTACCCCTAGAGCGGTTTGGGGAGGGGAGGGGGTCAAATCTTGGACCGACTCTCGTCTAGTCTTACCAACCTTCTACCTTCCGAGAACCGTAAAACGGCATCAGGTTTATCTGGGAGGATAGGAACACTGGCTTGTACGCATTGGCCTCTGCAAGTAATTGTGCAAGCCCTGTCGCATCCAGTGAGCCACCAAGGTTCTGAAAGGTAATAGATTGTGTGCCGGATCAAAAAAGAGATTGACCAACGGCCATAGCTTCATCTTTTTCTTATCCTAGTGGGACCTGCTCTGTCACTAGCACTAGGCTTTTGTTAAGGTTAGGAACTGATTGAAGCAGTGTTCAATTCAACAGAGGGGTCGCCTGGGAATTCCGAGAGTTTGAACTTGGTCAGCATGATACGGTATGCGGATTGCCGCGCGCGCTGCTCGGCAACCCTAGAGTCCACTTGCCTCCCTCACTCCCTCCACCTGCACTGGGCCTACACCATTGCTACGGACTATATGAAGCAGATGATGGGATCACTGCCTGAGCAGCGAATCGCTTGAATTCCATCATTCATATTTTCGAATACACAATGTGCATGACTCACTCGCTACGAAGTTGTTTTCCTCCAAACTATGGATGGAAGCCAGATGGCCACCGTTTCCCTGACAGATATTCTCAGCGTTCTCGAAGCTCGCCCACAGGAACATCTGCAAAAGATACATCCAAATCGCTTGCATTCACGTCACGAAGGAAGTGCTAGCTGGAGCTGTGAACATCTTTCGATTTTTGGAACTACACTATTCAGAAAATAAGTTGAGAAGGCCGACATGGACAGTCAGGCCTTCCGGTGAATCGGTACCGGACCCTTCTGGAAGGATAATAAGATGAATTCAGAATTACATATGATGGGCTGAATGCTTGAGTATATAATATCGCTTCTTCTGAGTCCTGTTGACTTCGGTTATGTCTACCCTGCAGAGATGAGACCTCCCTAGCAATGGCTTTTATCATACGCCTGTATCAGCTTACAAGTGAGCAACCAACTCTATGACCTCTCACTAGGCTATCGAATTGGCCTACCTAATCGTATGGGAGCAATAGCAACGTGACTATTACATTGCATTACTTGTACATATTTCGTTTCGCCCAAAATAGTTCCATCCGACCTGGCAGCCGAGCTGTGGGTGAAATGCAACCTCTTACTTGTAGTATATTCTGGTAGAAAAATAAATCGCTTCAAGGCAATTGGCACGATAAAATCCTCGAGAACCGAGTAGGCATTAATACGCCTGGCAGAAAGAATTCGCGCCCTGAAAGGGTACCCTTCCATCGGGTTTCTGAGGCATAGACTTGATATTCCTTCGTTGCACCAGACTTCCCGTAAGCGACTTTATACCCTTACAAGGACGCTCATCAACCTACATAACGCACCGACGCCGAACGCCCACACGGCCTCCGCTCCAGCCACAAATGACGGGACCGTTGCCTGATGTGGTATTGATTTATTTTGCCTGAGCAATATGATGGAGGAAGGGATGTAATGAAAGCGGCCGCGGTGCTGCATGGAGTAGTCACATGCAGCCGTATCTCCGTATCTCTGGTAGCGGTTATTGGCAAGATGCCTACGGGAAACTCGTCCGAAATCGATTTTCAAGTCACTGAGAACGAGGCTTTTCTTCGCAGGATTTTGACCGTTTCACTCCGTTCTTTCGCCATTTTCCCCACTATATAGCGCCCTGCTAGCATTTTAGGCCGAGTACCAAATTATCGTGCCGAACTGCCTTCAAGTATTACGTGTATTAGTGACCAGTTATGAACTTGTAGACGCTAAGTGACTCTACTGTAAAAAATGGAAGAAACACATGGCGAATAGTTGAACTTGCCTGGTGGAGCTGGGCATCCTACAGTCGGACACGGTGGGCAGGTAACTACAGGAACGATGGTAGAGATGGCGCAAACATAGGCGCGAGACTGAGAACAGGCTATAGACTGCCACGTTCCATCAGGAAGGGTGGACACTGCACATGTACTCGGACCAGATGACGACTGATTAGCTGGAAATCGACAAAGTATATGATTTGGGGGAAAAAGATGATTAGTGAGAACAAGAAAATTCCACGAGTTTCGCGGCACCCATCAAGAAGCGTTCCGTTGATCCTCTCACTCACCATTTTGCCAGTTCGTGAAGCTGACCTGGCTGTCGTCAGTGTAGCTCCAAGTGTCACCGTTGAGTTTGTTCAAACCAATCCAGAAAGGAGAGCCAATGCGTTGCTGTTGAGCAGTCTCTGCAACGAAATTTCTGAGGTGTGGCGACATTCATGCTTCTCAGAGTATTTTTGCATATTTGAATCCTTATTAGAACAGAAATGCAAAACATCCGTCGTTGATCACCTTCCGAGTCTAAATCCACCTCCACTTAAAGTTTAGTGGCATGTGCGGTTTGGCTCATAAATACAATGACTTCTGAGGGAAGGTCACGTCACACGCTGAGGATCCCCGCCGAGGTGGAGGAGTCGTCTTTGCCTCCGGAAAAAGGGTTTAGGTTGTTACTTTTTTTCGGCTTTTACTGTCTCAAGCGCCCTATGACCTACCCCCACATCGCTTTGCCGGTCGACAACAGTTGGGAAAAACTGGAGCTTTTGGAAGAAGGTGGGAAAACTGGCAGGCAGTTCAAGGCAAAGCGATGTGGGGGTAGGTCATAGGGGGCTTGAGACAGTAAAAGCCGAAAAAAAAGTAACAACCTAAACCCTTTTTCCAGAG